GCGGCCCCGCGCGTGCGCAGAGTGGCTCCTCCTGCCACCGGCGCCGCGACAAAGTGGGGACGGAGGGGGTGGGGCCGGGAGGCGGGGCCAGGGTTCCAGAGTGATATAGGGGTAGGATACAGGGATAGGAGTTAGGGACAGGGACAAGAGAGAGGGATAGGAATAGGGAGAAGGAGAGAGAGACAGAGAGAGGGATAGAGGACAGAGACACGGACAGGGATAGCTGAGAAGAAAAGGGAAATAGACAGGGACAGGGGATACAGAGAGGGATAGGAACAGAGATACGGACAGGGACAAATACAGGGATGGTGATAGGGACAGGCAGGGACTGCTACAGGGATAAGGATAGGGACGAGGGAAGGGAAAGGACGGGAGCGGGGACAGGGAATTTGGCGCCCTTTCCTGCCCTCCCCGAGCATGTCCACTGGGGCCTGCCCTGGCGTGAGGGAGGGGACCCCCCCATCTCCACACACGTCCGGCAGCCGCTGGCTCTCCCCTGCCCGTGCCTGGCCGCACGGGGGGAGCAGGCGGGGCAGCCGCACCTCGCTCCGTCGCTCCCATCCCGTGAGGGGCCGTGCTCGCCCCAGGGAACCCCCCCAGCCGCTCGGGCTCGGCTATCCCGAGGAGCCCGGGTGGTATCAGCTGCTTCAGGCAGGGATCCAGGCACTGGAGGATCACAGGGCAGCGCACTCAGTTTACGCGGTTCCTCACTCACTCCCGTCTACCTGCTCCTCACCAGGACAAGCTGCTGCACCCCACTGCTGCTGTCCTCGCACCCCAAAGTGGGATGTCAAACTTGAGACACATAAAAAAAAAAAAAATCTAATTAGGGGAGGTAAAGTCTTCTGGCAGATGAGATGCTTTCAGATCCACAGCTAAGGGACAGCGCAAACAGGGTTGTTCGTAGTAGCTCAAAGAGGAAGGGATGGGAGTGTGGGACATTTGGATACGGGACCAAATGAACCTGCTGCTAAGGGACGGAAACACGGAGCCTCTGACTTTATTTAGTTAATAAATAACAGTGATACTTTAAACAGGCACTGACTCAAGCAGATGCTCCAGTCATGTCGTGCAAGTCACCCTGCAGCACAGATGTGCTCCAGATCATGTGTGGACAGAAACACATCACTTAGATGTCACTTCTCTTCCATGAATGTGCGACAAGGCTCCAGGTCCTATAGACAGACCCCACCTGATGCAGCACCAAGCCAGCTGCCAGCTTTTTAAAAATAGATTCAAACAAGCTGCATGAATGTCTATGAAGTCAGTGTTTCACCATGCAGCTGCAGTATTTTCCATGCAGTGATGGGAGCTGTGCAATTAGATTTACTGTTGTCTCAATGCATGGCCAGAATAGAACTGGAAGTAAAAAACAATGCTCAGAATAATTTTATTGATGACAGTCAAAATTTAGGGCACCTTTTAGTAAGCAGTTAGCTGATGGAGTGCTAGGGACCAGAACTTGGCTGTATAAATACTCCCACTCCTGCACCAATTGAACACTGATATTTTATTTAATCTGCACTAAAACACAAAGCTGAAACTCAGCCTAAATCATTAGTCAGTATTTAAAACACCACTGTGCTACAGTTGTGCTCAGATACCAATTTTAATAACTAAGTTTATCTCAAAACTATTTAAAGACACCAATATCTACCAAAACCAATTTACATCAACTATACTCTTAAAACTGGTTTGAGATGTGTTGTGAGTCCAAAATAATGTACATAATTTCCATTGAACTTCTCAGACATTCTGTTCAAGCACAGCACAACTTTTTACACTAAAATAATTTGAAGATTCATGCTGAAATATTCTTAACCTGCCAAAATTAGGGGTAAAGTCCAAACAGAAATTTTCTGTTAACCTTACAATGAAATAAATTCTTTTGGAAGAGCCTTATTTGCATTAGTAAGATTTGTTAAGGTAATGGGTTACACTTACAGCACTTGTTTGTGCTGGCAGTCTGCTTGAATAGGTGAAAGTAAGGCATTTCATTCTTTCTCTCAAGAAGTCAGTTTGTTTTCCATAGTATACTTGATGTCTGGATTTAAAATATCAAAGGTATTTTTAACTGTCAAACAATAAAATGGCTTACCTGATGGGGACTTCTAAAATCTAAGTTCTACTCACATTTGTAAAGACAAATAAGTCAATCCTGCAGATACTGATAAGTATGAAAATTTTTCAATATCAAAACAATGTTACTTCTCATGTGTTCTGTACAAAGGTATTTTTTAGTGTTATATACAAAAAAAAAAGCAGGACTTTGCCACATAATTTTGTAAATTGTGAAGGTTACCTTAGTAACCTCTGGTCGTAGCAGAGCAAAGCTTCTGTGAGTTCAGCCATCAATTGAAACTGATTAAACTAATAAAGTATTGTTTCTTTACCTGTTAATGGTTAATTCATTGACATTATGCTGGTTGTTTTGTTTTAATGCATATTCCATTGATAGAGCAAAGAGCCTTTTTTTTACCATTATAAAATAGTCACTTGCTGACCAGAACAAAACTAGTGATTCCTGTAAGCCTGACTTCCTGCAAAGATGTTTATGGGTTCATGAACTAGACAATTTGCCTTTAACTGCAAGGATCAGGATTATTGTGTCATCCTCCCCACAGCACTGTGATGTCAACAGGAAAAGTTTAGAAATTTATTTAGCCTGCCCCCCATTCAAAAATCAGCTTATACATCTTCAATGCTACTATGGTGGGCCACAAATTTTAATAAAAATATAAATTATCAGTTATAAATTATAACCTATAATAAAGTTCACTGCTTTTCATTTATTGTTTTCTAGGGAAGTTGTGTAAAATACATTAATTTGACAAATACATTTAGGTGATAACATTATGCAGTCACCTACGCAAATGTTCCTATTCCTCTGCATTAGGAACAGCTACAGTTTAGCTGGGAAATGCAAATTGAAATGGGGGGTGAGTAGAATGGCTGGCATTGGTGCAGGTGGGTTTGCTTAGGCATAGAAATTTATGGTCAGTGCTAAACAGAAAAAAGATAATTTTGAATGAAATGTCATATGTCATGTGATTAAACACATTTTTCATCATCTCTTATCCTTGCTCTTAGAACTTGTGGGATTTCAAAGGTCCTCCAGAAGAAACTGCACCCATTCTTTCTCCTAGAGTGGTGGAGAGATACAGTTCAGAGCCTCTAAAGGGACTTTTACAAACAGAACTACTCCGCAGTGCTGGAGAAAAGATGCGTGTTCTACAGCAAAATATAAACATAGCTTTTTTGTTGCCCTGGGAAAGTCCTTGAAGTGACTAGCAATGTACCACAGAACCTTGTCTTCACACAAGCCACCGTCAACTTCTTTGCAAGAGCAGGGGCTCTTTCTACAAGTGGAAGCTAGTGGTAATAAAACTTAAGAACCAGCAAGGTAAGAAGAAAACTAGGGCAGAGCTTGAAGCACCACTGAGGGGCTTAAGGCTATCCAATCTGTCCAAGAGGTATAGTTTGCCCTGTATTTTCTGGATACCTCCATCCTGCAATATATTTCTTCCCCTTTTAGGATCATCACCTTAACTGAGAAGATGCTTGAATGAACAGGAACTATATAAGACTAGGAAGAGGAAGTAACTTTTTCCTCTTTTCAAAAGATTTATCTGGAGACTAGAGACAACCGTTAGTCATCTCAGTGAGGTTGTGAGATTTAGCCAGATCTTGTCTCTGGTGGAAAAACTTCTGTGAAAGGAAAATTAGCCAGGAAACTCATTAATTCCCTCTGATTATCAGATGGAAGGGATATGAAGAACAGTGAAATGCTGAAGTCTAAGATATGCAGAAGGCTGAAACATTTGTCTAAAAATCTGATCTTCTGGGTTCTTCTCTAACTCTTTGACATCTTCACTGTCTCATTACCACAAGTGTCCATATTTCCACAATTCCTTCACCAGAATTGTGAATCAGTTACTCTTCACAGGTTTATAAGGTAGGTCTTGCATGCAGTTGTAAGAGGAATTGTGTTCTTTCCCCTCCTTTACTGGGGTAAAATCAGGGTCACAGAAGCAGAATTTATTCTCCTTGGATTGTTTCTGCATTGTGCACTTGAAAGCTGAGAGAACCCTAGCTATTAATGACACATTGCTAGGCAAAAACAAGAACAGACTGCATTGCAATTCCTTTGGAAATTCAGCATGGGAAAAGAGAGCTTATCCTTCCAACCATGAAAAAAAATCTCTGCTGAATTTTGGCAATCCCCTCTTAACTGGAATTCTTTAAACTACTGTTCCTTATGGGCAACTATCTTCTAAA